ACAACACAATAAAATTAAAAAAAGAAAAGAACTCAGCGACATAAAAAGTGGCGACATTAAAATATTAAGATTGAAAGGAAAACGAAACGACATGGAGAGAGGAATCGGAGTGTACGGGAACGAGAGAGAGAGAGAGAGAGAGAGAAGATGGAGAGAGATGGAGAGTGAGATCGAGAGGGAGGTCGATCGCCGCGAGAGGATAACGAGAGAGAACGAAAAGGAGATAGATGAGAGAGACGAAGAGGAAGATGAGAGAGAGAGAGAGTGAGAGAGCGAGATGAGAGAGAGATAAGAGAGAGAGGATGAGACTGAGATGCAGAAGATGAGAGAGACGACGAGAGAGAGCAGAGGAGATCCCAGAGTCGATTCCACATCCACAAAGGGAAGTTAGACCAAAAATCTTTTGATGAATGCGGAAGACCTCCGCTGGCTTAAAGGTTAAAGAACTGTTCCACAGGTTTCGATTTCAGATTTCAAGTCGGTTTTGCTGAAGCCTCGCTTTTTGATGGTGATGAGTCAGCGAGTGCGACGTTGAGGAGGCGGCGGGTGACCTGTAACAGCTCTCAGGGTTCAGAACACTCCAGAGACCCCCGGCGCCATTGCCTCGGGCGGCCGTTGTTAGTTGGTGTAAATCTCTCCGTCTCGCCTAGCTCGGCCTCCTGTACTCAATTTGTTCCTCCCCGTCCGTCTTCTCATCGCTCTCTCGCTTTCTCTCTCGGCGTCTGGCTGCTCGCCCTCAGGCTCGCGCGTTTGCTTTTTCCTTCTGTTGTGTGTGGTGGAATGTTTTGTGTGTGTGCGGTGTGCTGTCTTCAAAGTGAGGTGAGGTGGTGTGTGTGGAGTGTGACTCGCCGGCGACTGTGTGTGTCGTGTGGGTGTTGTGTGTGTATGTTGTGTGTGTGTGCCCGGCTATTGTGGTTGCGTGTTGATTTAGCCAGCGTGTACCGTAGTCGTCCGGTTTGGCTGTTTAGCTTTAGTATTCGCCCAGACGTGGTCCTTGATTTGTCAGTAGGATGCATGTGATACAGCTTGGTCGATCTAGCGCATCAAGAATTGTGGTGTTTGAATGTTCTTGTCCGAGCTATTTAATATGTGGCTTGCTGTGATGTTGTTGTGTATGTGTGTGTATTGGTGTGTGTGTATTGATGTGTGGTCTTGTGTGTGTGTGATGATGTGTGTGTATGTGTGCTGTGGTAATGCGCCTGTGTACATGTGTTTGTGTGTATGTTTGTGTGGGTGTGCTCCTGTGTGTGTTGTGTGCACGTATGCCATTTCATGGTTTTCAATGTGTGTGAGTTTGTGTCTTTCGTGTGATGTATGATGGATCTTCTCTCTCTCTCTCTCTACCTCTCTCTTTCTCTATCTATCTATCTGTTTATTTATTAATTCTTTCCATCTCTCTCCTCTCTATCTATCTCTTCCCCCGCTCTCTCCTCCCTCCTTGTTTTCTTGTCCTCTCCTTGTTGATCTCCTCCCGTCCGCTACTCGTGGAAAATCGCTGATCACGCCCTCTTGCCTCTCCCTCCTCCCCTCCGCGTTCCCTCCCAGAATTGCTCCTCCCTCCCGGCGAGCCCTTCCTTCCCTCCCACAAGTCCCTCCCTCCCTCCCACAAGTCCCTCCCTTCCTCTTCCCAGAACCCATCCCTCCCTTCCACAAGGTCCCTCCCTCCTCCCACATTCCCTCCCTCCCTCCCACAAGTCCCTCCCTCCCTCACCACAAGTCCCTCCCTCCCTCCCAGATCCCCTCCCTCCTCCCAGAAGAAGGCCCTCCCTCCCAGCCCATCCTATTAGTTAAGTGATTTCGAGGTGTTAGACCGCCCGAATACCAACTCGGGCCCGCCCGCCACTCCTCCGCAGGCAGGGGAATATGAAACACCTGGGTTGTGACCGTAGAGTGATCACGGACATGGCGCGGTGATGCATACAACCTGGAGACCCTGGAGGTAAAGGATGCACATTAAAATATTCATAGTTCAGTTAGACGAAGGGAGGTTAAGAGGAAGGAGCTTTGGCGGCGACTTTGATTCCCTTTAATTCTAAGGATGTTTTGAGGGCCGCTGCGTCGAGCGAGTCACAGAATCAATGGTGGAAGAGAAATGATGCGTTTTCTCGTTCCAAAGACATCGAGTGGAGGCGGAGAGGACGCGAGGCAGTGGAGCTGAAGTCCTGCAGATTTGCCTGTTTTGCTGAAAAGTGTTTGCCAAATACAAGAACACACAATGGATGTGAAACACAACCACGACACACACACCACACAACCACACACACACACACACAGTTTTTATATATTATATTACATACTATATATATATATATATATATATGCCTATATTATATATATATATATATATATATATATATATACTATATATATACAATATATATATATAGTATATGTATATATATATTTATATATATATTATATGTATGTATAATATACTATATATATATATACTATATATATTATTAGTATATATATATATAATAATAATATTTATATATCATATGATATATATGTATAGATATATATATATTATATATATATTATTACATATATATATATATATATATATTATATATATATTATATATATATATATATATATATATATATAATATATATATACCATATATATATATACATATATATATATATAATATATATATATATATATATTATATATATATATATATATATATATTATATATATATGATATATATATGTGTTGTGTGTGTGATTGTGTGTGTGTGTGTGTGTGTATATTATACTATATGTATATATAATATATAATAGTATATTATAATATATATATATAATATATATATATATACATATATATATATAATATATATTATAATATATA